CCCCTCAGCCCTCCCTTCGTCCGCTCCCTTCCCGCCTCGCCGCCCCCTTCCCTCTCCACCAGCTCCTTTGTGCTCCCCGTCCCGTCCCCATCCAGCCCCCCCCACCATCCCCCCGGTTGCGTCTCGCTTCGTCCCACCTCCATCCTCTCCCTCGTCCCCTCGGCTCCTGCCTCAGCAAACGGGGGGAAATCGGCCTCTTCCTAAAGCCGAGCCCGGCTCCTCCAGTTCACCTGCGCCCCGTCCCAGCCCCCTCTGCCGGGTCCCGCTGCAGAAAAGCAACAGACGGTCCCGGTTGGATCGGGAGAGGCGAGGAGGGAGGGGAGAGTCCCCGTTCGGAGGGGAGCGGGGACAGACAGATCCCGATTGTGAACATTAAAAGAGCAAAACAAGAGCCGCCCCCTTCACAAATGCAGTTTCCATCTCCTAAAGAAGACGATGCAAAGCAAAGCCCTGTCATGCGTGCATCGCAGCTCCTCGGGCGGGGAAGGGAAGCGTTTGGAGCTTGTCCACCTTTTTCATACTTGTTCCTAACGAGCTAGACGAGGAAAATCTATCCTGTTTCAGTTTCTCTCTCTCTCTCTTTTTTTTTCCTTTTTTTTTTTTTTTTTTCTCCAGAAAAAGGGAGAGAGAGGCTCGTACTGAAGCCAACCAGCTGCGCTTCTGAGTGGGAAACTCTGGACTGATCTCATGGCTCGCTCTTTATTTCATTAATACTTCATTATCTCTGAAAATGAACCTTTTTTGAAGCTCTTCTAACTCTCCTTCCTCCTCTTTCACGAGGTGGCTGCTGTGCAAGGGAAGAAATGGCATGAAGTAAATGACTCCCATATAAAGCAATCTGCTTTGCCAAAGTGCCCGGGGAGCAGCACTGTCACTTTAATAATTCCAGGTCAAGGGATTGCTTTCCTCGTTTTCAATCCTCTCTTTTAATACATGGGAGGATCAGAGGGACATTAATGATCGTAAGGCTGGGTGGCTCGCAGATAATAAAAATGAAAGTGACTGGCCAGTGACTTCTGTTGGGTAAGAGGGCGATGTTTGAAGGCTGTGTTGTCTGGTGAGGAAAAAGGGACCTTTTCAGTCTGCTGTGTAGTCACCTAATACGTAGCTAGCAAAATTCATTCAAGAAGTGAAAGAAGTTTAAAGAGTCACTTTGGATTGTTTTTGTCTTCCTCCTTGTTTGGATTATTTGGGAGTTTTTGTCCAGCCAAAAATATATTTTTGAGCATGTATAGGTGGAGTATTAAGACAGCTGCCTAGAGATGGACTGTGCCTTAATTGTATTACATAAAATCTTTTAATTTTCAAACTTTTCTGCCAGAAGAGGAGTTATAATAAGGTTTTATATTGCCAAGGAACATTCTCTCTTGTATTTTTATAGATTCAAATATATTTTAAAGAAATTGAAAACATCTCTTAAAAAATCAAAAATCTTTTTTCCTTTTTTTTTTTTCTTCTTATTTCTGGGAAGCATCAGAAATCCAATACAAGAAAACTGCAAGTATTGATAGAAATGAAGATTGAAGCTGCATTTCCTAACTGAACTGTAAAAGTGTTTTGCAATAGATAGCCAGTTCCTGACCTGCAAAGTGTTCCAGTAGTGCGTCGTTAATACCCGTAAAAAAGTGCTTGCAACCAGATTCAGAAATAGGAAGAAGAATGCCAGTCAAGAAGAAAGGTGGGCTATGAAGCTTCATATCTCATATTGTGTCCTCATTTTGTTAGATTGTTGATTTCTAGTACTTACAATTTCAAATTAAAAGTGTTTTAATAGGGGATTGAAATTGTTTTTCTTTTGCGCTGAAAATGGGAGAAAAATCTGTGCACTTACAATAATAATTTTTGAAAGTATTTTTATACCATGTTTTAAGACATGTCAAATTTGGCCTGAAATAGGTATTTTGTAAAGATCAGCCATCAGAGATCTTGAACAGACACCAAGAGAAAAGCTTGGCATTTAATTTTGTGAGAAGCCTGTCTTACAAACGCTAATGAATTTTAAAATCATAGGTTTAATCAATTATCTATTCTTTACATGTTTGGCGGATAAACATCAGCCATCAGTAGCAGCATAAATAAATAACAAAGTTTCAAGGCAAATTTTAAATAAAAGTTATGCGAGTTGTGTTTTGAAGGCAATTTGAACGTGTTTTTTTTAAATGTGATTTTAACTAACTTTGATTTTCATGCTTTAATACAACACAAAAGTACTATATTTATGACTATAGTATGGCAACATTTAAGAAAAGATGACCAGTCTTAGATGTTGCCCCTTCTCCTAAAGTTTGTGATTACAGCAAGTACAGAAGCAGCTTTGAAAAATGTGGTTTCCAGTGTTTAAACAAGTGCTGGGGAATATATAAGGGCAAATTTTTGCTCTGAAAACACTTGTAGACCTTAGGTTATTTCTGCTTCCCTGCAAATATGACACTGATTTAAAATTTCAGAATATGGTAATAGAATAAATGGCACGTGAACCTTTTCTATTTGGCTCATCTGTCCAGATGTCCCTGGATCTGATATATCCCTGGATCCGATGATACCAAAATGTGGGGGAAGAAGCAAAAAGTGAATGTTACACGATAGAAATGGGGATATAGTCAGTGTGACTGTGGATTCTGCTCCTTGTAGGAAAAACCCTTTGGTGTAGTTATGACTTAACATTTACTATGTAAATAATTATAAAAACACTCAGATTGCTAGAATTATTTTTGTACAAAAAACAATAAATGGGATTTTGTGATGGTATTTTAACAGATGACAGTGTAGAAATTACTTTTCAAAACTGAAATATTTTAATGAATCGTATGGTCATTCATGTAATTACAATTACGTGTAGTAAAGAGGGGAATGTGTATGGAGGAGGACCATCCCTTAATAATTCATCCTGCTGTGCTGTAAACATGTCACCCTGGTGTACTGGTGACACTTCCATACTCTACCTGTTTACAGAAGGAAAATTAAGACACTCTTTTCGTATTTTAAGTCTTAATCCTGAATTAGATGATTTACACCAAGGATGTTTCTGTGCCAGATGTTTAGCTGTAGTTCAGTTTCAAAATACTTGCTGCAGGATTTTTTGGCTGAGGTCTTACGGGCTCCTTTGTGCAGGAAGTTAAATTGTCAATCATAGCGGTCCCTTCTGGCCTTAAAAATCTGTGGATTTCCTGTTTGTTTCAAGACAGTCTGGGTCAGTCTTAATGTACCTCAAGGCTTTAATTTCTTCTACTGTTTTATGAGGATATGTATTTTGACAATTTTAAAATATAAAATCAAAGAGACCCAAATATCCTACTTGAAATACTGTAAACTGTCACATCAGTCAGTGTACTGAAGTTGCCAGTGTGAATGTATTTGAGTATTAAAAGGATATTTTAAAAAATGTATTTAAGCATGTAAATTGCAGGATTAAAAATGTTAGCGATTCGGCAACTTTATTATTATTTCGAATGACTTAGTGTGTCTAGTTCATGCAATAGACTTTAATGTTCTAAATGTAATTAAAAGCATGCTGGCAACTTGAAATGTTCTCCATTAAAAAAAAAAACACCACCAAATCTGCTATTGTTACAAGTAATCCCTAATACTCCTGTGAATATTAGGGAGATTGAGGGTATTTTTCCCTGTTGGTTTGGGTTTTTTTCCCCATTTATTTGCTTTATGTTTTTGACAGCACTCTATGTGTAACTAGTTTCATATTGCTGTTGATGATTTATTTTCCCTTTCTGTTGTTATGTATTTGGGAGTTCATATCCACTGTCTTTCCCATCCATGCCATCTGTAGAAATCTCGGTGGGATACTCTCTTTTAGGCTGTGCAAAAGTATGTATTTCAATAGCAACATTGAGGACAGGATTATCCCTCTCCCTTTCAGCACTTCTTTATGTGTTGCTATTTTGGATTTGATCAAAATATTCCCCTAAAATCAGTATCGAGACAGAGAAACCTGTAAAAACAAGTTTTGAAATATCCTGATATTTATCACTGGAAGTTGTTACTGCTTTCTTTGGCATTGACCAGTTCTGGGTCTTTGTAAAGAACATCTTGAGAATTTGCCTTTAAAAGAGCTCCCAGATCCAGTACAGGTCTTCAAATTTCATGTAGCTTTGGACCTAATGTACACTTTACCTTACGGCTCGATATGATGTCTGCCATCTTGCTTTTAAAAGTCTAGGCCTGTTTACTCAGGAAAAAAATAGTTTACTTAATTGTAAAACCCACGTAACTTAGAGGAAGCATTGATTTCTTATGGATGTGGAGAAAAAGGCTCGCTCCTGGTTCTGATCGTGTTGGTGTCAGTGTGTGATTGCCCTTGCCTGATGTGCTAGAGTGAAAGGATTGTGTTTTCTGGCTTCGTTCTGGAAGGAAATAAGGCTCCACATTCCCAAGAATATTCACAGAACTGGCATGCTTGCTGTCAGTCTCAGCAAAAAAAAATAAAAAAAAAAATAAAATAAAAGCAAGGCTGGAAAGGGAGAAGGGAGTGCCCTGCAGGCATTGAATGTGCTCCTTTTAGATAAGGGCCAAGACGTATGGATTATTGCACTATCGCTGTGTGGCTAAACAAATGGCTATTCTCTGTGGCTTTTGGTTGCTCATCTTTCACTTAAGTACACTTATAATTTTAAAACAAATCAGACATTTGATTTTTGTTACAAAATTATTTGTTGGGCAGTGCCATTTAGAGATGCTATGCGATGAATACATTTGAGAAGTAAATAAATTCATTGTATTCACTTAATTTTTACTTTACTTTCACAAACAAATGAGGATGTATTTGAATACAACTATTCATAATAAATTTATGGAACTTCTTGAGGAAAGCTTTGCTTCAAAGTAAAATAGTACTACCATACAGAAGAAGTGAAGTCAGGGTTTTTTTTTGTGTTTTTAGATGTCTTCTCTCCCTTCCTTCCTGAGTTACTTAGCTGAGTTGATTCCTGTTAACTGTATATATTTAGATCTGTAATTGCATATATTTTGGATTCATCTACGGAGTAGTTAAGTGCATGAAATGTTGCTGTAATTCATTCATGTCTTTCACAGTGACGGAAGGAACTAATTAGATCCATACTCCTCTGTGATGGAGACCAGATTCCAGTTTTGGAACCCTGCTTGTGATTCACATGGAGGTGGCAGGAACCCCCACATCTAGATGCCTGGCTGCACATGTGCCTCTAGACTAACCCTGTCACTGTCTTTACACATCTAGCTATGTCTAGGCAGTAAGAGATACTTGAATGCTGGGATTCGTACTGCCCTCATCTCCCTTTCCATCTCTGAGAGTGAGAGGACTTCTATTTTTAGCCAGATGAAACCTGTAGACTGCTATTAATACCCTCTCGACTCACTCCACCTTGTAGCCAGTTGATAAAGGCATGCTGATTCTGTTTGTCACAAAGTAACTTCTTTCATCCTAACTTTTATATAAAGGAATGCTTTCAAGGACATGTTTTATTAAGCACATCAATGTCAAGAATTAAAAAGTCTCAATCTCATCCCATGTGGACTACTTCCGTGCCATTTAGAAGACTCCGACAGATACGCTTTGTGGAATGGTAGATTTTGTAGTGGTAACGCTAACTTTATGTGGCTGGTCTGTTGAAAGGAAGAGGTCTAAAAGGAAGGCCAAGACAAAGCCAGCTGCCATTAATGCATTGGAGTTCTTCACGTCCTAAATCTCTTTAAAACTAGCGACTTCTTTTTAGATAACAAAGTTTCAATCTAGGATCATAAATTTTTGTGCTCAAAATTCTTAGTCAGTGTAGTTGTAGGGTCCTTACAGCAGGAAATCCAGCATGTATTGGATCTAATAACTTACTGGTGTTACAGGGTTTTTGTCTTTTCAATTGCTGAATAAGTATTCTCAAGTAAGTACACAGCGCAAAGGCCAAATTTTTCACTCCGAGTTCTGTTCAACTACCTCTCAGTTTTTACAGTGGATTGAATGGGAGCAGTGCAAAGTCATAGGTTATGTTTAAAGACTGTGGAAAGAACAATTTTAGTTTTCCAAGAGTTAAATAAGTGGCAGAAAATTGCTATCTAAACTTTACCAACTTTCACCATAAAGCTTTGATTTAAAGATGTAGCTGCTTTTGTGGCAGTAATCTTTTTCCAGCCAGACATTGTTTCCTCTGTGAGAAACAGTGAGATATTTTGCACACAAAAGGACTATAGGAGCAGGCATTATACAGAACAAGTCTTTGTTATATAAATGCAGGCTGCAAAGCTCAGTGGACTCTGGACTGGGAATAGTGAAATTTATAGTCTTTTTCCAGCTCTACCATTGCTCTGGTATTTGCCAGATGTTTACTGCAGATCCATCCCGCTGTAGTTCCCTCACCTACGTAGGGTACCGGGCTTCTTTTCCTGGAGGGCTGCTTTGGTCAGGAGATAAAGATTCACCTTCAAAGGGTATTTTAAGCCACTTAAAATCTGAATTGTCTTCTTGACAGTTGTCATCTTCTCTCTCCCCATAGACCACAGAGGGAACCTAGGGTGCCCACACTAACTCACTTGCCTCAGTTAGATGGTGTCTCAGACTCTCATATAAATTTTAGTGGAAAAACCGTCTCCTTATCTGAGATATTTCTGAGAGCTGACGTTGTATGTTCCATGAGTGCTATAAATTAACACTATTCATTATTTTTGTGGGGAAAAACGTGTTACAAATTATTGTACTGTTAATCACTAGAACTGCAGGCAACCACAGACACGAGAGGCAGCTGTGCATCCTCTCCTCCATTCCTGTTAAATGCCTATTGCACTCAGTAGAAGGAATGGTGTCTTGCATTATAAGCCTATTTTTTTTCCTTCTCATACTCTCCTCTTTCCTTCT